TCCCCGCCTTCTCGCCCGCCTCCCCGCCTCTCGCCCGCCTCTCGCCCGCCTCGTCGCCCGTCTCGTCGCCTTCCCGCCGGCCTCTCGCCCGCATCCTCGCCTTCTCGTCCCTCTCCGTTCAACGCCGCGCTCCCGCCTCCCCGTCGCCTACCACCCCTCGCTCAGCGTCAGCACCCTCCCCACTCCCCCTATGGCTGTGGGTGGCATATCTATGCTGCTTACGTAAGCAATACATTCACTATTAGTACTCGATACAATTTTGTCATATATATAAAATATAATGAAAAATAATCTTTACTAGAATTTGAATGGTTACCAGTGATTTATAATAAATAAATAAAAGTAATCTTATTCAGATAATCTATCGAGTATATGATTGCTGTAGAGTCTACATAGGACATATAGTTTCAGTAGCACCAAGGTGTGAGCTATATAGCACTGAGGTATGCCCTACATAGCTGCTATAGCACTGAGATATGCCCTACATAGCTACTATAGCCATGACAGTACCCTCTATAGCACCTATAGCACTATGATAGCATTGGCTGGCAGATATTTAGCATGGGTAGCAAAGGACATCGCTATGGACCTATGGAGGCTATATGGCACTATGTAATGCCATATAGTGATCTAGATTTTTTCAGATGAATACGTTCCTTCGAGCCAAAACAGAGCCGACGAGCCCTCAAGAGGGATCGCCCCAAAGGGTCTCCCGCGTTTCGAATCCCCCATTAAAATACCCTTCTGTGTATCAGGACTCATAGCGAGAGCGACACTATAGTATTTAATACAGTTTGATACTAATTGTTATCACTCCAAAAGAGAGCGAGAGGGGTCATAGACGCATCGCGTCGTGCGGCAACACTTGCCACATACGCCGACCTCGCATGCGCACGGCGAAGACACCGCCCATGACAAGGCGCCCCGGGCGGCAGGACTTCCACTCACCGCATCGAGACTTTCCTCCAAGCGACCACTTCGTCTTACCGCACTCAAAGTCGCGGTTGGCCAAGTTTCACAACCCAAACAGAATCAAGCTGTCTGCGACGGCGGGGGAGCATCTGGCCAGAGCTCTGCTTCACGGGTGGGCCCCTTCGACTCTTAGAGGGTACAATAGTGCGGTGAACCGGTTTATTCGGTTCTGCAGAGCGGAGAAGATTCACCGGCGCTTTTGGCTCCCGGCGGACGAGCTCGTACTTTGCGCGTTTGCTGCATCGAGCAAAGGCCGCCACGCAGGCAGCACCGCCAGGAACACTCTTGCGGGACTCAAGGCCTGGCACTCCACGCAGAACGCAGAATGGAAGGGAGGCAAACACCTCAACTACGTCCTGAACGGGGTGGAGAACAGACGCCCCGCCCTCTCGCATCGCCCTCCCCGCCTTCCCATCAACCGGAAAATGCTACGTATCCTCAGGGCGGGTCTTGACCTGTCAGACAACGTTGACATGGCCGTCTTCGCAGCCGCCTGTGTGGCCTTCTGGGGCCAATGCCGCCTGGGTGAGCTCCTTCCCCCTTCAACGACGCCGGCCGCCGTGAAGAGGAACCCAAGGCGTGCGGACCTCACCTTCCCGTCACCGGCATCCCCCTCACACGTCATCCATCTCCCATCGACGAAGGTTTGCTTCAGCCAGGGCGAAGACGTCGTCATTCTGCATCAACAAGGCTCGTTGGACCCCATCCGGGCGCTCCGTCACCACCTGTATTGGAACAACCCCGGGCTCGACGACCACCTCTTCGCTTACCGAACAACGTTCGGCATCCGCCCTCTCACTCGGTGCTTCTTCATGAGGAAGTGTAACGCAGTTTGGAAGGAGGCCAGCCTACCGAGGTTCACCGGCCATTCGTTCCGCATCGGAGGCACCACCGAGTTGCTGTTGGCCGGCGTCCCACCCGACGTCATCAAGAAATCCGGACGCTGGTCCTCGAACGCCTTCTTACGCTACTGGAGGGTAGTCAAGGGCATTCTCCCGACACACATGCAACATCTCTCACAGGGCCAGCCCCCGCGCCTCTGTCGACGATCACGACCGCAAGGTGGGGGTCAGCTGGGCACGCGCACCACGGCTGGGGTGCGGTCTGGGCGAGCCGTCGCGCTCGCACCCGGCTTGCGCCCAAGCTGACACGCTTCACCCACACCACATGGTGGAGCTCTCACCGTGCTTCCTGCGCGAGACTGCAGGACCGCAACCCGCCCAAGAGTGGGCGCACCGGAGCGGAGGCCACGAGTGGCGGTGCCAGTTCTTGGGCGGAGGAGGTCGCCTCGCTGGCTCTCTTGCTTCCGCTTCCGAGGGCGACGAGAGGATTGCCCTCCTTCGTCGTTTTTCGTCCCACCCTCCACTCCCTCGCATTACAGACCAGTCACAGCGGTATTTAAGATCAATGCATTCAATCCCATGATCGTAATACAGTAGAGAGTAGATTACAACACTCGAACCTGAGGCACACCGAGAGTTCCGACCGAGTAGGCCGGGGGCGAGCCGTCGCGCTCGCACCCGGCTTGCGCCCAAGCTGACACGCTTCACCCACACCACATGGTGGAGCTCTCACCGTGCTTCCTGCGCGAGACTGCAGGACCGCAACCCGCCCAAGACAAAATGGTGCGGCGAGCGCGGGCGGTAGTCAAAGGTAAGTCAAGTACATTGATCAAGTACACGCGCGTCGTACTCTACTCGTTCCGACCCACATGATATATCCGGTAATTGGCGTCGGGGCAAGGGAGTATCCATTACGGGCGCCCGAGGTGCTTCATATCTCGGGATATATTATTTCGCTGACGGTATGCTAGGAGAAGAAGGAAGAACACTGGCGGATTCATCCTCACCCGCACTAAATTATCCGTCGCACACACATCACGCACCCTTACAAGCCCTTCTCTCAACCGCGTCCTCAACCCGATTGCGAGCGCGACCGTGACTTGGAGCTACCTTGGCCGACCCCCTTGTCAACGACGCGCAGATGAGAACATCCGGATCTTGATCTGTGGGGAGATCCTGCGCGGACGGTCATGATCTGTCCAACACATCTCCGCAACACCATCTGAGATTCGGATATATTTACTTACAGGAAGGCTCATCATACACTCTGGGGGACTGCACTACAACGCATCATACGACTTATACCGTCTCTTGAGGACGGGCGATCAACTTAACGCCGCTAACCTTGTCTTGGCGCAGCAACTCCAGTCCTTCCGGAATCCCAGCGAGACCACGAGGAAGCAACTGAACACGATGTGGCTACCGATCATAGAAGAGGTCAGTCCGCCGTTCCTGAACCAGAAACGCGGATGCTGGATTCTTACCTTAATCGACCCATCCTGCAGAACTTGGGTTACGCGTGCGTACAGCTCGCGTCCCGCCTCTTGCTGGTCGGCCCATTCGGGGTGTCCAGACACCTGCACGAGCTCCTTCCCGTCCTCGCCGTGCACGATGCCCTCGGCGAGTGACTGGACAAGAATAAGCTCACCGTCCGTGCTGAGCAACGACCACGCTGCGTGCTGTGTTGTCGCAACGCTGACGGCGTCATAGACGATCTTGATGGGGTGCGACGTGATCTTACCGATCTCTACGCGCAGGGCATCCGTAGAGAGCGTGCGGGAGAGGACATGCGTTGCGCCCAGGGATTTGAGGTGTTCAGCGTGTTTCTCAGACGCAGTGACGATAATAGAGGAGAAGCCAGACAGGCGGGCAAGCTGGATTACTGTAGGGCTTGGGTAAGGATGGGTCGGGTGGAGAACTCGAATCCGCTCACCAAATTGGCCGATAGAGGTGGCGCCACCCAACAGCACGAACGGCTGTCCGGCGTAGGCGGTAGAAGATTGCCAGAAGGGCGTCAGTTCCGCGCCACCTCCACGGTCGTCCTTCTTCTTGCTGTACAACCCCAAATATGCCGTCGCGAGCGTCGCCGGAATTGACGCCGCCTCGTCGAGGCTGACGTTGTCGGGGACCTTGGCAGCAAATTCTGCCGTGGCGAGCGCATACTGCTGGAACGTTGCGCGATGAGGCTTGATATCGCCCTCCCATAGACTGTGGAGGTAGAAAGATGTAGCCTTGATTAAAGATAAGAATGGATAAGACATGCACTCTATCTCCCTTCTTGAGGTTCGTGACGCCCTCGCCGACTTCCTCGACTACTCCGGCGGCGTCAAAGCCCAGGATCGCGGGGTATTGGAGCAAATCCCGGTATGGGTCGGCGAACGCGAACTTCCAATCCGCTGGGTTGAGGGACGTAGCGTCCACCCTAGCGAGGATTTCGCCCGGACCCGGAGAGGGTACCGTCGCGCTTTGAACAACGAGATCGGCGCCCTTGGACGGTAGGACGAGTGCTTTCTGTTCTTTCGGAGCCATGCTCAGAGGTTGATTGGAGTTCGGTTCTTGGGTTGACTCATAAATGAACCATCCCCGCCCCACGTTAGCCCGACGCTATTGCGACGTTCCGAGGGGACGCGCGGCCGGATACGCGCTACTCAACGCCCGGCGGCAGTGCCGCTGCTCTTTCTGATCACCCCTTTTGCTCAACGAGCGACTCGACCCACTTGACCTTGCGCGCGCCGCTCCTCCGCTCCTCAAATCTTCAAGCGTTATTAGTCACTACGCGGGCGGCCGACGGTTCAATCCGGCCCATGGACGGCGGTTTGGAGTGGACAGAGAGGAGGTTGAGAGGGACTTGGCGATTGCGCACGGACGCGGTAGCGTATCCCATATAATTCGCCGCTTCATGTACAGTACAGTAGCATCGACTCACCCCAGCGTTATACTATCTAACTATCAGCCTACCGAGCACCGACCGACTCCAGCGTACCAAACGACCGACATCCCAGCCTATCCTTCGACGCTACTCTATCATATTATCCTATTCTCCATTGGACCGACTCATGCCGCCTCCTGAGGATGGGCAATCAATTTAACACCGCTAACCTTATCCTGGCGCAGCAGCTCTAACCCGTCCGAGATTCCAGCGAGGCCTTTAGGAAGCACTTGTACATGGTTTGGCTACAGAGCATAAAGGGGGTTATTCCTCTTTCACAGCCGTAAGCAATTTCAAGTCTCACCTTGATCGACCCATCCTGTAAAAGTTGCGTTACGCGTGCGTACAATTCGCGCCCTGCATCTTGCTGGCCTGGCCAGTTCACGTTCCCAGCCACTCCCACGAGCTCCTTCCCATCCTTCCCGTGAACAATCCCCTCAGCGGGTGGCAGCACAAGAATCAATTGGCCACCAGAGGCAAGGAGCGAATATCCAGTCTCCTGCGTGTCAGCGTGGCTCACTGTGTCGTAGACGATCTTGATCGGCTGCGACGTGATCTTGCCGATCTCGGCACGTAGGGCTTCAGTGGAGAGCGAGCGAGGGAGGACGTGCGTGGCCCCGAGCGACTTGAGGTGGTCCGTGTGCTTCTCGGACGCGGTGACGATGATAGGGGAGAAACCAGATAGGCGGGCAAGCTGGATTACTGTAGGGCTTGGGTGAGGATGCGAACATAGGGTCGGGTGAAGAACTCGAATCCGCTCACCAGATTGGCCGACAGAGGTGGCGCCACCCAACAGCACGAATGGCTGTCCGGCGTAGGCGGTGGAGGATTGCCAGAACGGCGTCAGCTCCGCGCCTCCGCCGCGAACGTCGCTCTTCTTGTTATACAGCCCCAAATATGCCGTGGCAAGCGACGTAGGAATGGACGCCGCCTCGTCGAGGCTGACGTTGTCGGGGATCCTGGCGGCAAACTCGGCGGGGACGATGGCGTATTGCTGGTACGTTGCGCGGTGAGACGGCGTGAGTTCACCCTCCCACAGACTGCTCAACGACCAGTTGAGCTTATCGCTCGTAGAGGACGAAGGATAGTTAGAAGGCGTACATCTTGTCTCCCTTCTTGACGTTAGTGACACCCTCGCCAACCTCCTCGACTACACCGGCAGCGTCAAATCCGAGTATCCCAGGGTATTGAATCCAATCCTGGTAGAGGTCCTTGATCTTCCAGTCGACCGGGTTGAGGGCTGTAGCGTCCACCCTGGCTAGTATCTCACCAGGACCAGGGGAGGGCACGGCCACGCTTTGCACGACGAAATCGGCGCCCTTGGATGGGATGACAAGAGCTTTCTGTTCCTTCGGAGCCATGTTCGTATCGGTATGAAAAGATAGGGCACGCAACCGTGAAGATATAAGGCAGCCGTCCCCGCCCCACGTTAGCGCGCGATCATTGCAATTGGCGATCTACAGAATTCAGGCTGACAAAACAACTGTTGATGCTGTGTCAGCACGAAGGAATTCCCGCAATCAAGATACGTGCATGATTAGCTATTGCACCATGTCGAAGTAAGGTAAAAGGATTGCGTTCGTGAGACCGGTGAGTAACCCGCAGCGGCCACTTTCCCATCAGGTTAGAGTCTGGCTTCATTGTGATTGTGATCGCCCCACGACATTTCGCTTTTGCGTTCCATGTGTTGTATCAGTTGAAGACATAGAGGTCAGATCTTGCCTCCCGTGCTCATTCGCGACCTCTTGTGTAGATTCACGCCATCGGCCAGATCTTGGTCAGCAATTGTTTGGTCATGCGGATGATGTCATACCGTGGGCTGCAGCATCACAAGACTAACTCAATGGACGTACGACACCTGAAAGGGGCACAGCGGAAGAACGGAATGAGTGAACTTGTATTTGATGCGCAATCCTGATACGACGACAAGTCAGAGCATTGGCATTGTGTGAGCCCAGCTCGATGCCAGGGTTGGGGCAAGATTATAAGTCGTTGGCCTGCTCCTCGAGCCACGCCTACAACTCGCGGCCGAGCGCGGGATCGTTCGTTGGCTCATATGGCTCTCCGGTGCGCACCCAAGGAATCAGATACTACGAAGCATTGCATTCAGCACTCGACGTTATCGCGCGGAAAGCTGTCGAAATCTGACCTTTCCGCCGAGCTCTAGCCTCTCCTGTGATGTACCGGCCCACAGCTGCGTAAGCGCTCCATATGAAGCGGGGTACAGAAACATGTTCTTAATATGAATGAGAGGAGGTCTAGTGTTCCAGCAAAAGAATAATCGGGGCTTACGACGAGCAGATTGAAGATGGGCCGGCCAGGACGCGGTTTGACTATGAACCCGTTAAGGTCGACTAGTGGTATTTCGTAGGAACGGCAGAACTCACAAGGGCCTGTCCTGAGGGTGCCTGACAGCGGAGGAGAAAACCAATCACATACATTAGGCAAATTCAAGAGGAAGGGGCTGGAAGATGCGCTCACCGGGATTGACTGAGGTTGATACGATGCCTTCAGCACCGTACCGTCTATGCAACTCGTTGGCGAACACGATGTTACCCTGAACGCAATATCGTCAGCTTCCGTATCTCGTGCCGGATCAATCCTGAACGAAAGATACACACCGCCTTACTTTTGGCATATAACCTCTCCCTGCCCATCTTTTGACGAATCGGGCCATCCTTGAAGCTGGCGAAGTCAAGGAAAGGGCTAGATGGGTAGTAATGCGCCGCGGAAGTGGTTGTCGCGACGCGAGCCTTGCCTTCGGCCGTGGTCCTGGCCGTATCGAGGAGAATCGGGAGTAGGAGCTTCGCGAAGTAGTAGTGCCCTGGTATAGACGGCATAGGTATCCGCATCAGAGCAGGTGTGTGTGGCAAGGTTACCGAGGACGTTTGTGCCTGCAAAGTCGCAGTTACTGGCTGATGAACCAGGATGCCTCGCGCATGTTTCTTACCAAACTGTGGATCGTAACCTTGAACGGTGACCAATTCTACGGGGGGAAGCATGACGCCTCTACCGGAGATATGTCTATAGCGAAGCAGCGCATGTATGCATGCTCAGGATACGTACGCGTTATTGAATAGCGCATGCAGCTGCTTCTCCTTGCTGGTATCACCGTATTTCATGTGAGACAGCAGCTTGTACGAGTCATGGACGCAGAAAACCCACCTAGCGAACTGTTCCGCGGCTTCCTGCACGCTGTGCAGGTCACCCAAATCCAGTTTCAGGAATATAGCTTCATGGCCGGTATCGCGCTTCAACTCTTCGATGGCTTCTTTCGCCCTCGTCTGGGATCGAGCTGCGAGGTACACCTACGAGCATCAGCCGGACGCAGTACGTGCATTGTGGGGCCGAGCTCGGCAGACCCACCTTCGCGTTGCCCATGCATGAGCAGAGCCTGCATGTGTGTCCGCATTGGAATACCCGTTCGCACGTCCATGATACAGGCTCAATGACTCGCCTTGACAGTCTCCTTCCCAATGCCGGAGTTGCCGCCCGTAACGATCATCACCTAAACGCGATGATTAGTGCGCGGGCTTAGGAACGACTCAGTACAGATGGACCTTTCCAGCCAAGTCAGGAATGTCGTCCACACCCCAATTCGGTCTCGGCGGGAACATCTGCGTGTATTGCGAATAGAGCGCGCCCATCGTCGCTTGAACTCCGGTACTAAGTGAACGTGAGCGAGCCCTCGAGAAAGCCAGGAGGGAAGGTTTTGTAGCCACGGACGCAACCGGGTGACTCAAAGGCCTGAGAATGGGTGGACCCGAATATCATCACCCGCCTCCAGGCGTGAGCCAACACGCTACCGCGCAGTAGATGGCGTTACCAGTGTATGCGTAGGGCTGCGGATGAGTCGAAAATCGAGGTGTTCCTTCGGTCGCGACACGGCGGGAACAAGCTCATGATCCATTCAAAGGCGCTTAGACGCCCAAGAGATTGAACGACGTATCATTGTTTCATCGACAACGCGGAAGACAACAGGTGCGAGATGAGCGTTAACGTTGAGTTCATTTCCGAGATTATCGGGTTGACAACGATGACCAACACTCTCTCACGATAGACGCCCCTTGTCATTGTGGTCCCGTGCTTTTTCTACTGGTGTTCGTCCACGCCGACTGCCGACAACCAAAATCTCAGACGTGTTTGGATAAGATATCTTCTTAATACTTTCTTTGCCGCTCTTGAAGCTCAATATCGACCTGGGTTTCTACACTGGACCGACCAGCAATGGAGGACAATTTCAACCCAGCACCCGTGGCACGGGTGCTGGGTTGAAACCGTCCACTGTGATTTTTTTGGACCAATCGTGCGCTACGCTCGTGTCATCCTCCCACAGATAATACGGATTCGGTACAGATCTCTCAGTGAGTGAGTGTTTGATTGACCAATAATAGGTTCCCTGACGCCATTCAAGCTCTTGGTCAGCGCAAGTGAGTCGAATGTCGATGCGCGAGATACGATTGAATACCGCAACGGCTGCCACGGCACGCGTATAAAGACGGTACATATCGTCGTTCCACGCACCTTTGAAACATGGCCCCCTCCGAACAGAAAGCGCTCATCATCTCGTCCAAGGGCGGCGAATTCGCCGTCGGGAACGCGACCGTCCCCTCTCCTGGCGCTGGCGAAGTCCTCGCGAGGGTGGACGCTACGGCGCTCAACCCGATAGACTGGAAGGTTCAGCGCGGCGGATATGAGGATCTCATCCAGTACCCGGGAATCTTGGGGTCGGACGCTGCTGGCGTCGTCGAGGAAGTAGGAGAGAGCGTCACCACCTTACAGAAGGGCGATAAGATGTGCGCTCCTTCCAATCCGGGAGGATTCTGTAAACTCTGGAACGGGAGTTGACGATTTCTTTTCGTGGTTCCCCCACAGTGTCTGGCAAGGCATGTTCAAGAACGACCGCGCGACGTTTCAGCAGTACACGGTCGTTTCCGCCGACCTCGCTGCGAAGATACCCCCGAACGTGACCGTCGACGAGGCCGCCACGATTCCTCTCGGGCTCGCGACCGCCTTCCTCGCGCTTTACAATACGAAACGGGTCGGACAGGCCGGCGGCGCAGAGCTCACGCCTTTCTGGAAGTCGTCCTCCGCCTACGCCGGCCAGCCGTTCGTCTTGCTGGGCGGCGCCACGTCCGTCGGCCAGTTCGGTGAGGGGGCCAATCCCCGCCAGTCCCCTCAGCCCTTTCTTTGACCGGCGTTTGCTGACCGTTTGAGTCGCTCCACAGTCATCCAGCTCGCCCGCCTTTCCGGCTTCTCCCCGATCATCGCCACGGCGTCCGCGAAGCACGCGGACTACCTCGAATCCCTCGGCGCCACGCACGTCCTCTCGCGCTCGTTGCCGGCCGACGCGCTCGCGTCCGAGATCGCCGATATCGCGCTGCACCCGGTCAAGATCGTGTACGACGCGGTCGGCGTCGCCGAGACGCAGAAGACGGCGTGGTCGCTCCTCGCGCCCGGCGGGCGGTTGATTCTGGTCTTGCCCGCGGCCGAGGGCATCGTCCACGGCGTGGAGAACAAGGAACTCGTGCAGGTGTTCGGGAACGTGAATTACCCCGGGCAGGACGAAGTGGGGCGTGAACTGTACGCGCACCTTGGTCGGTGGCTGCAGGACGGAGCGATCAGGGTGAGCCCACCTACTTCGCGCGCTTTTCGTTTACGTTCACTTTTTTTTGCGGTTTCCCAAAAAAACAACTGAATCCTTGTCTGATATTGGGTAGCCAAATCGCGTGCAAGTGCTCCCGAACGGCCTTGCGGGTATACCGGACGGGTTGGAGCTGCTGCGCCAGGAGAAGGTCAGCGGCGTGAAGCTGGTCGCCTATCCCCATGAGACGCCATGAAATAACGTATGACCGAACGGAATCAACGGATAACGAAGGGAGCGATGTTACGTAGAGTATAGCATGTGCGCTGATTTTGATATCGCATCAATTCTCTCCAGATTTCGAACACATCGCTGGATGTTTCTTTCTTCGGAAACCCGGAGAGTGACGTGCGGTTCGATGTCACGGAGGCAAGTCGAGTGGCGAACCGAAAGGCCTTGAGACCGTGTCTCCTCGCTCGCTCATGGGTGGCCCGTTCTGAGGCAATAGCTACGCCTGATGGCGCGTCCCCGGAAGTGGGGGCAACGTGGACATCGACCCGAACGTCCGATGGATTAGCAGTGCACCGACAAGCGCTGGGCAACCCCGTACGGTACACCGTACAGTGGCACAGTCCACTCAGACTCAGAAAGTCAGACTGGACTCCTGACAGGGTCCTAAATATGGGACGCGGGTCTGATGTAGATGCCGTCGAGTTGAGCATCACTCGTAGAGCGGTGATGACCAGGACCGATATATATATATCGTGCTAAATTATCGCAAGCGGTAATTGTAGCTCGGAAGATGTAGCGCGATGGACGTGGGCTGAGATCTGTCCGGGCGGCTGTTGGGAGCACGGATGGATGATGCGGGCGTCGCGATGAGGGACCTTGATCTGATGATAACTTGTATGTGTAGATCATCGCGCGATCGGTGGAGCAATTGGCGGGGACGTCTACCTCTCCTTTCTTGTTTTTCCCTACAAGGGTTTTTTGCTGAGGGGTGGGTGGGTTTTTATTGCACTATCGGAAGTCCCTGTATTGACACGCGACGACGGCTGAAGTGGGCCGCCGCTAGGTAATGTATTGCACATAGTAGCACATACGTGTACCTAGTTTACCTGCACCAGTGCAGAAGCGGCGTGTCGGCTGTATAACAGCTCACGGGGGCCGTGGATGCACTGTGTGCGCCAAGCCGTGCGTATTGACGTGCGGTGCGGCAACCGGTTGTTCCGCTATTCTACCTACCTACCTTAGTATTTCTCTCTTTCTCCCGTGGCAACACAAAATCCTACATGGATCGCATGACACGCACGATGACAGAACACATATCCTACTCTGCCGAAGAACTCGTATGCCCTCAAATCGTCCTCGTGCTCAGGATGCTACACACTCCATCGTTCGCCTCGGCTCACCGACACCCGTGCCGACACCCCTCATGAGTGCAAACGCGTGCGACGGCCCTACAGCTTTGAGATCCTAGTGATTTTGTACGCAGTGTGCACCCGCGCTGCGTCAACCACAAGCTTAGCATGCCACAACAAACTTGGATGGCACGAATAAGGGCCACGATCCGCGAAGTACTGGTATCATGATGTATACTCGTCCCAACTCTACGCGCGTGTTCACATAAAAAGTCCGGAGGTTGCCTATCTGAATGGGACATCAGGAAACACACCCTCTGGGAATTAGTATCATAAAGGGGGGGGATGTCAAGTAATTACTGGACTATCCATGCAGATAAAGCCATTTTGGGGCCTTTTACAGTATATAGGAACATATAGGAGCTAATAGGAGCACATAAGTACAAAAATGAGGATATCTGGAAGGTCCCCCTGAGCATTTGTCACAAAATGTTCACAAATATGTGGAAATTTATGAACTTTTTGGGCATATTTTGGTGATTTGTAACATCAATCATCTCTTCAATATGATATATTTTGGTTCAAATAACACCAGAAACCTCCAGACTTCATGTCACATCTTGTTAGATGTCTTCAGAATTTGGTCATGTGTACTATCCATTCATCAGGTATTATAATTACATTGTGCAGGAATCTAGTATACATATGT